TTAACATAATAAAGGTCACATATCATTCTCAACGGTGAAAAGCTAAAAGCTTTTCCCATAACATCTGGAACAAGACAAGGATGTCCACTCTCACCACTGTTTTTTAATGTAATATTGAAAGTACTACCCAGAGCAATAAGACAAGAGAAAGATATACAAGAAACCCAAATAAGAAAAGAAGTAAAACTATCACTATTTGAAGATGACATGATATTATACATAAAGAACCCCAAAAACGCCCCAGAAAAACTAATCAAAATAATCAACCAGCTTAAGGGAGCAACATATAAGGTGCAGCAGACCTCTTCTGTCTCACCAGCTGCTCCCCTTAGCAGTGTATTTCAGTAGATCTGCCTGTTCTACTCCTCAATCTATCTCTGGTAGATCCTCTCACCACCTGGCCTACACCCCAGTTCTTGTATGCATAAATAAATAAGTCTTTAAAAAAATAATCAACCAGTTTAGTAAAGGAGCAGGATACAAAATCAACACACAAAAATCAGTAGCTTTCTTATACACAAATAATCAAACTGAAGAAGAAGAAATCAAGAAAACCAACCCTTTTAAAATTGAAACAAAAAAAATTAAATACCAAGGAATAAACAGAACAAAAGAGGTGAAGTACCTATACAAAAAAAATAAATAAATAAATAAAACTTTGTTAAAGAAATAGAAGAAGACACAAAGAAATGGAAAGACATCCCCTGCTCATGGATCAGAAGAAATCTCTTTTATATATATATATTTTTATCAGTCAGTATGCTAGGCACTTTATTTTATATATATATATATATATATTTTATTTATTTACATCACTGTTCATTTTTAAACAATATTTGCTACTCCCCAACCCCTCAGGTGTAGTCCCCATAGAGTTTCCTTCACCATTGCACCCGTGCACCATCACCACAGTCCCCTGTGCTCCTCCCTCCCTCCCTCTGATCCCTCTCCCTCCTCCTCCCCTGCAGTATGTCTCTGGTTTATAATTGTCTGTTTTTGCTTTGTTGTGTTTTGTACTGTTATTTTTTTTACACTGATGTCTTATTTGGTTTCCCTATATTCCTGCTGTAAGTGAAACCATCCAATATTTTTCTTTTTTCCATATGGCTTGTTTCACTGAGCATAAGTCCTTCGAGCACCATCCACGTTGCTGCAAGGAAAAATTTTGATTGCTGAAGGAAAAAGTCTTTGCACTCCAGCCAAATGATAAGGGACTGATCACAAAGATATACAAAGAACTCACACGACTCAACAAAATCAAAATTAACAATCCAGTCAAGAAATGGGCAGAAGAACTTAAAAGACATTTCTCCAAAGAGGAAATGTAAATGGCATATGAAAAAATGTTCAACATCCCTTATCATCAGGGAAATGCAAATTAAAACCACATTGAGATACCACCTTACATCAGTGAGAATGGCACATATCAAAAAAACAAGCAACAACAAATGTTGGTGAGGATGCGGTGAAAAAAGAACTCTCCTGCATTGCTGGTGGGAGTGCAACTGGTCCAACCACTATAGAAAACTGTCTGGAGGTTCCTCAGTCTACTAAAAATGGAGCTACCATTCAACCCGGCAATTCCACTACTAGGGATCTACCCAAAGGACACAAAAATATTGATTCAAAAGAACACCTGTACCCCTGTGTTTATTGCAGCACCATTTACAATAGTTAAAACCTGGAAACAACCCAAATGCCCAAAAATAGATGACTGGATCAAGAAGATGTGGCATATATACACAATGAAATGTCCTTTCTAAATGGCCAAGAGTCCTGCATTGTCCGTCAGTATCCTCCTGAATCTTTACAGTCTATTGCACCTCCATCTCCTATAGCCTCTTAATGTTGAGTATGTGGGCTCTGCCAGCCATTTTAAAGTCAATTAAAAACCAGCAAGGGTAGGCAGATTACATCTTTTACAAGGAAAATCATGCACCCATGAAGGATTTTCCAGAAGGAAATATTGGGGTATTTTTAAAGTGTACCATGCATCTGACTAAGCAACACTTGTCAGTGCTCTTTGTCCATGGAGATGACCTCACTCACTCACTGTGCTGTGCCTTGTCCAAGACATGCATTAGCAACCAGCAGGCAAGCAGTGACCCAAACGCTCAGTGAACTGAAGTCAGTGACCCAAAGTGCTCCTCCATTGGAGAAGAGGCAAGCTCAGATAGAAGGCACCAGTTGCCAACCAGACAGCAGGGGAATTCCTTTCTTGAATTTTCTCTCCTGCCCATATGGTTGCAATACTTGTCTAGGAGAGGCTGAATGTACTCGCTGAGTTGGGACATCCTGAATATCTGGGACCCTGTGCTGGAAGGGAAACAAGAAGTAGATCAGTATATTTTCTCTGAAGCTACTGTCATACACCCCGCCCCCCTAGAAAAATTCTGCAGGAACAAGTGACAGTAAGAAAAAGGGTCCAGAACTAGCCTCTCTTACAAGAAATAAAAGCCAAGACCCAGGGTGAAGTGACCTGATGTAAGTTGAGAGATTTCAGTGGCTGAGCTACACTTTGCCCTTCAGTCTTCTAACGCTAACCAGCTGCTTTCCGACACGCCATGCTGTCTTCTCAGCCTCTGGGTTTTTGTTTTTGTTTTTTTAAAAAAAGCATCTAGAAGATACCCAGACACCAGCAGTTCAAAGAGAGAAAAAGTCCAAGTGGATTTTATTTCCAGACAGGGATGGATGAAAAAACTCCAATTAAGTCTGGAAAACAACAGGTGAGATGAAGCACTCTCCCAGATGTTGGGATCTGTCTCTGAATGTGGGTGCTGAGTAACAACAGCAGCTGTCAAGCATGCACCACCCAGGTGACCTTCTCAGAGTAGGTGGACTCAATCCCAAGAGATCAGGGAGGATTCTGGAATTTAAGCCATAGCCCCCTTCCTTCTCTGCTTTTGCCCAATCCCACTCTCTCTTCCACGACAATGCATGATTCCTTAGAGGCCCTGGGTAATTTAGAACCAACAAATGTTAGAAAGAAAAGGAAACCTCTCCATGTCCCAATGCTTCTGTTGTAGTGGAGAAGGAGGAAGCATTGCTCAAGGTCATTCCATAGGCACAGGCCAAGTGGAACCTCCTTAATCCTGATTCTGTATTCCTCCCTCTCATCAACCTAGCCCCTTCCTTTCCTGTATGTTTCCCAAGGGAGCAGGGAAGCTGGAGAAAAGTGGAGTTCAGAGAGGCAGCAGGGATTTGGGAAGTTATACATAAGCCTGTGCTAAAGATGAGGGAGATGCCCTTCCCAGCAAGACCAGAGAAACCAGAGACTTTCCCTAACTAGACGGCATCCCCTGAAATGCCATGTATTGTAAAATAGGCCCCGCGCCCCGGCTCCTGAGTTGGTGCGCCCTGTCTTATAGAGAAAAGTATTCTGAAGGTCATTGGAAAAGAGAGTGACTTGGAAACATTCCATTGAATGATATCCTTGCAGCCTCCAATCAAGGTTGATAACTGTCTAGAGTCATTTTATCTAATACTCTGTTTCCTCATTGCCACATTGTTGCACTTCAGAAGAACTGGGTGATGTGGTACAGAGACCTTGACCTCAACAAACACATAGGTATTTGGAAAAACCAGTCCAGGCTAACTTGGGTGCCAATTTGAGAATTAGCCCAGACTTGGTGAATATTAATCAAGCAATGAATTAGATGCAGGCACACTCAGGAAAGCTTGCAGATGAGGGAGGACACACAGAGCAGGGAGGGCTGAGGATGCCAGGGCAGTGCCCAAAACCAGGGAGTTGCTAAGGGAAGGCACAAAAGGAGGGCTGAAGAAATCTCAGACTCTCCCAATTCTGACCAGTCCAGTGGTCAGTGGCCTACTGGACAGAGCAGACAGAGGCTGTGGTGCAGACGGCTGGGCAGTGCTGTGGCCAGTTGCATGGAACCCACTTTCCTCTTGTTCCTCAATACCTCTCCTTCCCACCTTACCCTGACTTCCCTTTCCCCCTCATTTGGTCTATATCCCAGACTGGCCAGCGGCCTTGTAAGTCTTTATCTACTTGGGTTCCTACCTATGGGCAGCACCTGTTCTTAACATAGGTGAAGTATGTGTTAGAGTAGAAAGGAGAAGGCAAAGACTAACTTTTCTGGCTTTAAAAAAATCTCTAGATCCTGGGAACACAGGTGAAAAGACAGATCCAAAGATCAGCTTTAATCAGTCAAAAGCATCTATGAACATCCTATGGAGAAAACAAATGATGAGCTGTATATGATGTACAATCTTCTTTAAATCCTCCAACTGTGAGAGACCATTGAGTCACTCTGTGTCTCTTAAAAGCACTATCAACTGTTGCTCACAATCGCTGTGCATTGCACCCTGGTGACATACAGGTAGGTCCTGGTTAAAAGCCTGGAGGTTGGGAGGCAGAAGCCCTGTCCTAAGGAGCTTCCAGGCCAGTGGGAGAGCCTGGAATGGGGGAGGACCGTCATGGGTTGGGGTACAGGGAGGGCTTTCTAGAAGAAAGAATAGAATCCTCATGCAGACATCAATTAGCTATGAGAGTTAATTTTCAATACTGTACAGATTCTCTCATTCCCCTGGGGAAGAAACTGGTTACCGAGGCTGAAGATCCTTTCAAGATCTCACAGTTCCAGCTAAAGTATAGATGGCTGGCATGTAGCCCACTATGCAAAGCCCCCCCACCCCCAGATTCAGAGTTCCACAGTGGCAATTGGTTGTGGTGCTAGTGTCCCACAGAGGAATCCTCAGCCCTCTGAACACTGAAACCTCAGGGTAGGGGGACTTCAGCCCTGGCGGCAGTCCAGGGTCTGTACTGAGGTGTGTGGAAATGGAGTTGAGCTTCTCTCCCAGGAGGCAGTTCCTGTCTTGCTCTCAGGCAGATCTAGGGCAGCCCCTGCACCAAGCAAATGAAGGGCCCCGGGTCGTGTTATGGTCCTTCCTCCCACTTCTCACTTGCCTCTCTTAGTCCTCTTTGTTTTTTGCAGATTGCCAACAAGAGGGCAGGATAGAAAAGGCTTCTTCTCCTCATAATGGGCCTGCTGCAAGGTGAGTCCCAAAACAGCCCAGCCCCAGAGAGAGCAAAACCAGCCCCTAGCGTTCCAGGCTGCAGAGATGAGATCTGCGGTGCCCCCTTCATCTGGGATTCAGCACTCCAAGGTAGTTTCGGCACATCACGGTTTTCTTTCCCGGAAAGCAAGATGATGTGAGGGTCCTGGGGAGTGGTGAGATCTGGGTCCAGGAGGACTGAGGGAGACGAGAACTCACATGCAAGAGCATAAGCCAGACTCAATTGTTTCTAATACTCGCTCTTTTGATATCCCCTGTGCTCTGCTGTCTTCTATTAAGTTGACAATTGAAAGTTATGAGTTAAGTGTTTCGGGGTATGCAAAAGACAGAAGTAGCACTACTTCGCTGGCACCAATTCAAGTGCCAAACCCAGTACTACGGAAAAATGAGGACCCTGCCTTACCCTTAAAAGAATTCAGAGTTTAAGGCCTCCCTGGTGGCGCAAGGGGTTAAGCACTGCACTATGAAGCAATCCGCAGCATCTGCAGCATGAGATCGATCCCCAGCTGGCCAGGGAGCAACCCACATGGCGCAGCAGACCTCTCCTGTCTCGCCCGCTGCTCCCCTCAGCAGTGTGTTTCAGTCAGTCTGTCTGTTCTGCTCCCCACTCTGTCTCTGGTGAATCCTCTCACCCCCCGCATCTCTGGCCTGTACCCCAGCTCTTGTATGCATAAATAAATAAATCTTTAAAAAAAAAAAGAATTCAGAGTTTAAAAAAATTCTACGGGTAAAAAATATATATCCAATTTTACTTATTTCGCCAATACCATGTGCCAGTCACTGGGCACAGATGGATGAAAGGCAGGATCCTTGGCCTAAGGCAGGCGTGCCAAGTATGTATTAGGTTCAGATGACAGAGGTCCTGCCTCCAAGCTGTGGAATCTGGATTTTATTCTGATGGTAACGGGAAGGCCCTGAGGAATGTGTGAGTGTATGCCTAAAGTGTCTAGTACCTAGAACATGGTACCAAGAAGATGCTTAACAAAATAGCTGTTGAATGATTTAATGAATGAATAAAAATGCTGTGATAAAACCCATAAAGGATTAACACTATGTCTGGCTTATAAGCAAATCAGAATTTTAATGAAGCAAAGGTGGGAAATACTTGAGCAATACGCTCTGAGATACAACACAGCATCTCTTTATTTTAACCTCATCCCCCTTTAAAATTTTTCCTACTGAAAAATTTTCTGTTGTCTCCAAGTGCAAATTCAGGCACACCAGGCTTTCTCTGCTAATATATCAGTAATACTCCTAAATTAACTCCTTCAAGTTTCAAACACTCCAAATTTGATCATTTTAAATTCCATTTAAATTTTTTCATCAGCGTCTTAATCTTCACTCAAAGATATGCTCCCTCACCTCCCCAAGGTCTAGAGGAAGGGGTGTGACTGTTGCCCTCTCTCTTCCCGGGCTTATCCTCCTCCCAGTCTTGGCAACTGATGCTGGGGACCCCAGTAAGGGATCATCCTAGGGAGGGAGGAGGGAGGAGCCCCCTGCCTGGGCAGGCTTATAGCTGACTTCCTCTCCCAGGCACCTTAGCCCCTGCTGACCCAACTCCTCCCTCTGTTCCATGCTCTGTATTGGCCCCTCCACAAAGAAGACGCACACTGAATAGTTTGCAGACTGGCTCTCTTCCCTCTGGGACTCATCTTTGGGACAAGATGTACATTTCTCAACCCTGTCCTGGCAGAAGCAGTCCTTGCCCTCTGTACCCGCCACAGATTGCACCTTCTCACGTCACATCAGGATCCAGCCCATGGCCTCTCTCCAGTCATAGGCATCACTCCCTGGTAGCAGCTACACCAACAGACCACTGCTGGTGATGGTGGGGTATCAAAGCCAGGACACCTGCCTCCACCAAAGGGCTGAGAATGAACATCAGCAGGTCACCAAATTGATCCTAAAATACTAGCTCTTTCTTCAGCCCTCACTAATACAAGACTCCAAAACCTTAATTATATATAACATCTACTGATCAAATGCACCAAGTGATTTCTTGAGCATAAATCAAATTTGGTATTAATAAAAGAAAATAATGTGCATTGCAAGGATTCTTAACAAGCTTTCTACTGCAAAGCCTGACAACTGCATCCTCCTGATAAATGAGGCAGAGATCCGCTTCAACACGCCTCATGTAGAATACAAGAATTCCTGAAATCTAAGGCGTGAACATTTTTCAGGGCCACATCACAGCTGTCCTGAGATTGTCCTTCTTTGTAATTGTGAATAGTCTAACCTTTGAATGATAAGTTGTCATTTAACCTTATTGATAGTGGCATAGCTGGTGATGTGGTTTAATCAAGCCTGAAGTGAGCACTGAAATATCCATGGCATCTATGGCCTCAACTTTCCTCTAGCTTGATATTAAGACATAGATACCAGGCAGGGCAGCTTCACAGGCCTCACATGGGCACTCACACCAGGTCTCATACTCAGAAGGCACTTAGCTTACTGCTCTGCTATTACCACAGTGAAACCCTTAATAATTTTTGAACAAAGGCTCTTGCATTTTCATTTTGCACAGGCCTGGCAAGTGATGTAGCCAGACCTTGCAATAGGATATCAAAGTGAACCTACTTGTGTCAAAAGTCCTTACGATGAACTTACTTGTGTCAAAGGTCCTAACTTACTTGTGTCAAAGGTCCTAACAAGTTGATAGGTGCGAGGCATACACATTCTAAAGCAAGAAGGTGAGAGGTTACAAAGTTGGTTGTTCTACCAATAGCCCATCACGGCACCCGCTGAAGAGAATGCAGAAGGGCTCACTGGGAGAGCTGCTTGAAAGACAGCTATGTGTGTGTTTCTTAAGTTTGCACATTCCATCAACAAAAAAACTGCTCCTTTGCAGACCTCTCCCACCCTCTCTCAATAGTTATAGCTCTGGGAAGGGGGCCTGGTAGCAGTGGAGTCATAGCTGATTTTGTTCTCTTTGACTTTCAAGTACAGAACTTTGTCCTGAGGCACTTGTTCATGTTTTCAAGGCCCAGGTGCATTAAACTCCAGTTCATGGCACTTTGTACCACGTCTAGTTGTTTGCTTTGGCCCCAGGTGAGGGTGAGCCAACAGTGTAGAGAAAAGCCTCAGTTCTACTGAGGCACAAGAGAGTCGATCTAACCTTCCAGCTCAGGATCCAGGTACGCAGGCCTAGGAGTCATAAACTGAAGTCAACAGTCACAGCCTTACACGGACCCCACACCAGTAACCACCAGGACACGGCGCTGTCCTAAAATCCCTGCTTAGGGAAGTGGGGTGTTTCACTCACAGCTCTGGGTGTATGATCACTATATGGCGTTATAACATTTACCCATGCAGACATCTATCCACTGTTATATCAGTTTTCTATCACAGATCTTTGCTCCCCTACTCTGATAATTCTCCAGAAGTAAAATTCTCTGTCCTTCACACCCAATATGTGTGCCCCTCTCCAGTGCATTTCCCAGAGTCTTTAATGTGGACATGAGCCCTGAGTCAACAACAGTATCAAAGTGGTTCCTGATCACAGCCTTTCTGCCCTCTCCTGGGTTACACTGCCCCTGTAACACTCCAAACACAAATATATTTCAACTTTCTTACCCTCTTTGCTGAATCATCCCTCAGTATGCACGCAATGGCCATCCAATCATCCTCCAGGCACTGTTGTCTTTGTTTATATGCAATTTGGTTGTTTTAGCAAGCCCAGTGTCTTAACTCTCCCATTATCTTGCCAGACTCCTAGATGGTACCTTCTTAAACATCTGCATTGGAGCACAGTGGAATTGCCCCAGGCTCTGAAGACTTGTATGAGACTACCTGGCATATAACTGTCAGCTAAGTAGTGAGTAAGGTTATTACTGCATTTCCATCTCTCAGAAGGAGTCTTGGGTACAGCTCCATTCTAAATCCTGAGTCTACTCCTGACTCAGAGGCTAAGCTTTGACATTTCAATATTGATTAGTTTCACTTTCACAGAAGCATTTCTTAGCTGTCTTCTTATTCAGGCAGAATTTTGAGATTGTAATTCCCCGAAGACTGACTACACTCAGCACTTTGACTTTTTCTTCTTACCTGCAACTGCAGCTGCATTGAAGGACCCAAGGCTGGTATCTGGGGAGCCTGGGAGGCTTGTCACCACCCACTGCCACTATGCACCCTTTCTGCCACACCATTGTGTCCACCAATCATCATACTGACCTTCATTACCATGGCTGTGTGACTCTAGAAGATTTCCCACAGAATGGCTTGTTTGTGGTGAGGCTGTCCTAGCTGTCCCAGGATGATGAGGGGCACTACCGCTGTGGCCTCAGACACAAACAACATGCTGTTCTTCAACATGAACCTGACCATTTCTGCAAGTATGAGCTGATAGCCAGTGGGTCAAGCTTGATGGAGCAAAAGCTGGGAAGGAGATGGCACAAAAGGATACCCAGGAATCCAAGAGGGCTTTTTTTTTTTTTTTTTTTTTTTTTTTTAAATATTAAATTTTATTTTTATATTCCCCCATACAATTGCAAACGCCCCATTCTGACCCCAATCCTTCCCCTCCCGCCCCCCACCCCCCAAAAAGTGTCTCTGGTTCATAGTTTTTTTGTTGATTTTGATTTTCACTTTCTTATATTCATTTTCCTGGTCCCTTATTTAAGTTTTCTAGATTCCTGCTATGAGTGAGACCATCCGGTATTTTTCTTTTTCTTTTTGGCTTATTTCGCTGAGCATGATCCCTTCCAGTGCCATCCATGTTGCTGCAAATTGCATGTGTTTATCTTTTTTGAATGCTGAGTAATATTCCATGGTATAAGGCAAGGAGAGGGGTGATAGAAAACTGACAGTGAGGCAAAGATTTTAAAAGCATGCTTTTATCTCAGAAGAATGCTTCCTTTAGAAGAAAGGTTGCTTCCTTTCTTCTAAAGAATGCTTCCTTTAGAAAAAACTTCCCAACTGAATGTACTGAAAAAACTTTTCAACTGAAAGATATCCCACCCAATTCCCCCAGAGTGTTGTAGAATATATATTTGGGGGAGAGTGCCAAAAGGTAGTGAGTTGTATAAGGTGACTTATTATGGTCACAAAGACTCCTTGTTCAAATGTGCAGACCAGGTAAGAAGTCAGGGCAGAAGAATTGGACAGGCTCTACCTACAACTAAGCGGCTCAGCAGACGTCTAACAGCAACCATGTACTGTGTGGTATTTTCGGAAGAGCTCATCAACAGTCAGGTACCCGGAGTTTAAGGAAGGACATCCAGGCTGTGAAAGGCCAGTAGAGAGATGGCCTGTTATGGAGCAGGTAAGCACAAGAGTCTGAAAATGCACTTTATTAGATGTTGGTATCTACCCATCGCTGAGATTGCCTGCACCACTGCAACTGGAGCAACTGAAGGGCTGTGGCCTCTGGGAAAGGGTGTAGCATGGAGGGCATGTCAGTGGGAAAGAGATTATGTGGGCATAGGAGAATACATCTAGTTTTCCAAAATTTTATTTTGTGTAACATATTGGCCAAAGACTGCCTGGCTTAGTGAGCTTGCATTCCACCTAGCAAACTCTTTAAGCTCAATCCTGTAGGCAACCTGGATAGTCTTCCAATACACGCTCCCTCTGCTGTACACACAGGTCCTTCCAGCACCATCCTCACAGTCATTCCAGGTGCTGGTGACCTCATCATGAGTTCCTTTGAAACAGCATCTCCAGGAGCCAACACATGGGCCCAAGGACCCACTCCAACTATAGAAGGACAGGGAACAAGATGGGACAGGGTTGCTTTGACTCCAAGACCAACAACACAACAGCTTCAGCTAAGAGAAGGCAAACTCCAGGAATAACTAGGATCATAGTTCCAGGGACAGGTAGCTGGGTAGAAGATTCCATCAGGGCACAGTACCAAGTCCAAAGAACCCAGTTTCAAAAATCAGAGGTACAGCTAATGCAATTGTTTTGCTATGGAGCACCAGAAGTACAGCCCTAAACAGGCCTATATCTAGGGACGGAGGAAGGAAGACAATAACCACTGAGGCCAATAACTCAAGAGAGGCCACAGAAAGGGTCACAATAGCCCTGGACACAGCCTGGAAGGTCATAGGGACCTTTAGGCCATTGATACTAGTCTCAGAAAAATGGGCACAGGAATTCCTCCAAGAAGCAACATCAGTTTCTAAGCCAAAAGCCTTGGTTTCCATCAAAGGAACTACTCCAACTGCAAGTCTATGGACCTTAGGGTGTTCTAAACAGGAAGATGGCATCTGTGGAAGAAAGCACTGCAGAGGACTTAGACCCCTCTGCTGGAGACAGCAGCTCTGAGCAACACTGAGCCAGAACCTGGGAGCAGGAAAGAGGTCCTCTGTGAGGAGGTAAACTCCCAGTCCCTCCTGTTGGTTGGGCCATCACACCTCCCCCCATTCCCGGGCGCACCCTTTGATGTTCTGACTCCTGTGTCACCATCCACTGCTGACTTCTCTTTCTTGGTAACTGCAACACAGGGGAGGGCAAAGGAGATACAAATCAGACTCTCTCCCTCATTGAACGGCCATTGCTAGGAGAATATTATCTGAATATTGTCATATGAATTTCAAGCAAAATCTAAATAGAGTAACATAACATTTAGGTGAAACCTTAGGGAATTTTTTAAGATGAGGAACAGAAGTTGTAGGGAGAGAAATTAATTGAAGCCACAAGGAAAGTTTCTGGCAGAATAAAATGCCAAGGTTAGAGTCCTCAGCCCTAACTGGGTCTCCTTGGCACACAGTGGAGCCCACACACAGGGGAAGGAGCAGGTAATAAAAAACCAGGCTGGGGAAGCTGCAGAAAGGGAGTCTAGTCTGCTGCTGACCCTCATGGGGATCAGGGCAGCCAATTTGCCTTGGCCTCAAATTCTCATCTGTGCAACAAGGGGTATGGGCCAAATGGTCTTTAGTCAGGAAATTAAACTTCCTCTTTCCCATACTCTTCCCATTCCCCACCCTGCGCCATTCATTCCAGTGCTTTTACAGAAGAGAAAAATGTCTCTTGAATCCTGACTGCAGTCTTTCCGGTGGTGCCTCTATTTACCGTTGTGGCTCTTGTTCTATTGCAAAGGAAACTCCAAAAAAGTCTTGTGAGTTGAGTTTAAGTGGACCCAAGGATGGGGAGTGAGTACTTGGTCCCATTTGACATTTTCATGGCTGCCTGAGGTCATGGACAGGGCTAGAACTTTTGGGTACAGAAGAGCTAAAATCTAATCTGAGTCATTTAAACACTCTTGGCCTTGGTTTCTTAATCAATCAATCAAAAGGGAAAAGCATCTCTGTGCTTATATCTTTTTTTTAACCCAGCTCTGTTTTTTTAATGAACATTTGTAATACATTTTTTACATCATTTTTCATTTTTGCACAATGTATACATTTTAATCTTGGTTATAGTCCCCATACAATTCCCAACCCCCTTGATTTGATCCCTCCTTCCACCCCCACCCGTAATATGTTTCTGGTTTACTGTTGCTTGTTGATTATATCTTTTTTTTTAAGATTTATTTTATTTATTTATACAAGCACTGGGTACAGTCAGAAGCGCAGGAAGGTGAGAGAATTCACCAGAGACAGAGCGGGGAGCAGAACAGATAGACTGACAAAGTACATTGCTGAGGGGAGCAGCAGGCAGCAGGAGAGGTCTGCGCGCCATGTAGGACCCTCACACAGCGGCTGGGGATCAAACCAGTGCTGCAGAGGCTGCGGGCAGCCTCGAAGCCCAGCGCTCAACCGCTGCACCATCAGGGGAAGCCCCTTGTTGATTATATCTTAATGGCATCCCAGAGATTAAGGAGAAGATCTTCCAATTATGCAATGCTAATTGTACACATATAAACCACCTGAAGAATACCAGCCACAGACACAGGAGTGCAGGGCCCAGAGGTGGGCCAAACTACATTTATACCCTTCTCATGGCCCAGCTGAAAATCTCACAGAGCAACATTCTTGGGTTTAAATACCCCTACATTGAGTGTTTCATGATGTTTTTATCTGCTGAGCCTGTCCAATTCTTCCTGTGAAATTTTCTGGGAGCAACTAGAGGAGGCTAAATTTCTCAGATGAAGGCCTCAAGGCCTGGTCCAATCAGTGCTTACTGCTAAAGTCTCAATTACAAATCTTCTGTGTCAGGAAGTTCTTGAAGGCTGGTGATTAGTAGGGATGTTCTCAGGCTCTCAGATCAGTGCTCAGTATCCTCACAGCAAATTAGCTTTTGTGCAGCTCAGGAGACAGAAGGGACCACAACTACGTTCATCTTGATTCAAGAGACACATTTCATGGAACTGAGCCTCCAGCCAGATCACCTGCCCAATGAGGAAAAGCTGTTCCAGGATGATTCTCCTCCTGTCCATGTCAGCCTGGCTGCCTCAGAAACAGACCCTGGACTCTGAGGTATGGAAAGAGAAGCTATTCAGTCCCCATGGAAAGAGAACCAGGACCAAACTCCATGACCTCAGCCTCTTTTCATCCTTCCTCCACCTTGTGGAGGGAAAATAATAAAACTGAGACTCCACCTGGAGAAGCAAATGTTAACTATCCTTGGGCCTAAGAAGATCAAGCATTTTCTCAAAGGTGACAATATGACTCAAGTAAGACCTCAAGAAAATATTTATTAAACACTGGCAAAGGAACCTAGGAAAGGCAATGAACTTCCATTTCTGGGGTTTTGAAAATATAAAAGTGTTCCAATCAATGTGGAGAATTACACATTCTCAATCATCAAGCTGGCGCTTGCTCAGCACCCCCATTTCTGACATCTGTTAGAGCTCAGCTTGCAATTCAAACATTTAGTTGTATTCCTGTTCAATAGCATTACCTTCTTCAGTAGATTCTAAGCTTCTGTGGGCAGCACTTTTGTTTTATCCATCTCACAATTTGCCCAGAGAACTTTCAACTCAGTAGGAGTCCCAATAAATACCTATGACTGAATGGCCAACTGGAAGTGCGTGGGGTCAGCAGCCTGCCTAAGGAGATGTTCTCGACCACCCCCCTTCATTTGGAAGTCCCTGGATACCACATAGACAGATGGTTTCTACATAGGAAAGAAGGAACACCCGTTCCTCAAATGATCCACCCCACTTAGCCTCGTATTCATGTTGTAGACCTTTTGAGCCAGTAAGAGAGAAAGTGGTCAAGAGAAACATGGCATGGACTCTGCTTTATTTCAGGCCTGCTGGGTGAACTCAGCCTGGCCCTTTACCCTGCCATCCTTTCAGGAGCCACATCTGCCACATTTTGACATATCTGCCAACAAGCTGCCTAAACTTCATTGGGGGCAGAGCAGTCCTTGAGCAATGCAAGAGAAGGGAAACAAAAACTCCGGTATCAGGCCAAGAATAGTCAGGCAGACATTCCCAGAAAGCGAGCCATGCCCTCTAAGCTGCCAGCAGCATCAGAAACCCTTCATTAATATCAACTCATCATAGCTAATGTTGAGCTCCGGAATTGTCCCAGGAAAAAAAGGAGATGTAGTCTTCATGATTCGTGAGAGAGGCAGCTGTTTTGGATAAGCAGGGAAGCTGCATGCATCTAACCAAATGGAATCACAGAAATTGAGAATTAATAGAACTTTAGACTTGTATCAATTTAAACTGTCAATCGAGGGTGAGCTAACTAAGGCCTAGTGGGAGGGAAGTAACTTGTTAAAATCACACAGTTAACCCAGCTAGCAATAGAGGAAGGACTAGGAAAAAGAACTCATGCTCCTGGTCTAGTGCCTTCCACACCTCACCATTGCTGAGCAATGTATCAAAACAAAACTAATCAACGACAAAAGTCATAGATTCAGACTATTTCTATGCACACTATCTCACTGACCTGCTAAAAACCTTGGAAGAGAGATAGGATAGCCAGCGGTATCCAACTCAACCAAGGAGGTGGCGGGCCCTCAGGGTTATGAAATTCAGCCAAAGTCATTAGAGGCAGGGAGGGGCCAAGAACCTGGGTTGTATAGATTATTCCACCTCACTCATGTTTACCAGGGGCGTCTGCCGAGTGCTAGATTCTCAGGATGTTAACAGGTATTCTGAGAAAAAGAACATTTGGTAGATCAAAGAAGTTTGGGAAAGGCAGGTTCAACAGCAAACAGGTTTCTCTACACAGGATTTCCTAGAGCCTTTATTACACTGTGGCTGCTGTGCGTGGCCCTGGGGGCAGCTGCCCTGTGTGTGCGTCCCTGCATTCTGGACATTTGTGTTTTGATAAAATTATCTCACAGGACTGGACTTTCTTGGATCACTCTGTTTGGGGAAATTTGATGCACTAAACCAGAGGTCAGCAAGCCTTTCCTGTAAAGAGTTAGTAATATTTTCAACTCTGCCAGTCATACAGCCATATAAATACTTGGTTCTGCTGTGGTGGTGCAAAACCAGCCAGAGACCACACATACACAAAAAAGCATGAGCTGTGTTCCAACAAAACTTTATCTACAGAAACAAGCAGCAGGCTTGAGCCACAATGGGCCAGCCTCCTGCACTAAGTCATAAAGCCGCACAAAACGCCTGTCCTCACTCGGATGTGAAGGCGCAGAGTCACTCTTCTTCAAAAGCTTCTCTGACCACCCTCTCGAGGACCTCCCCTTTACCTAAATTCCCCCAATACTTTGGTGTCTGCGATTCAACAGTTCAGAAGCCCTGCCTGACTACCCCATCTTGGGGAGAAGAGGTGACTTTCCCCCAGAGTACAGCTTTCAGCAGTAGGAAAGGCTGCAAGGCAAGGGGTTTTAAGGAAAGTCAAGGTCCACCAGTGGGAGGAGCCACTACAAGTTCAAAGGGCCAGTGCAGAACGAAGATCAGATTCTTAGGAACAAGTGTGTGTCGTGGCAGAGATAAGATCTGGGTGAAATCTTGGCCAAGAAGTGGGGCAGCCCCGAGTGTTTATAGCTCTCCTTTATGGGCTAACTGATAGTTGGAGGCCAGGTGGGTAGGAGTGTTCCCTTAAAGGGCCAGAGGCAAAAATGGCAGAGCACTCCAACTCCACCAGTTGGCATTACCGGTGAATTTTTCTTATCTTATATCCCCAGCTAGCATGGTTTCACATCACTGGATGAGGGGCAGGGAATGTGCCCATGGAAAGAGTTTTGAGCTCAGATACAGCGAAACATCAACTTTCCTCTGATCATGCAGGCGCTCCAGGTAGGGCATAACTCCCCTGTTCTCACCCATCTGCTTATCAGTGCTCTGCTACTTGTTAGATATCTTAGGATAATAGGCCCTGCCCCAGGTGTTTGCATCAAACGCAATAGAGAATGTGCAAAGTTTCTGTAAGGGAGATTTTACAGACAAGAAAACTGAAGTCAGAGAAATAAAGTAGTCATACTCCTAGGAAAGGGACAAGTTGGAATATGAAGGCAAAGCAGTCTCCTCTGCAGTTTAAATTCTTTTTTTTTTTAAATAATAAATTTTATTTTATATTCCCCATACAATTGCAACCCCCTCATTCTGACACCAATCCCTCCCCTCCCGCCCCCCGCCCCCCAAAAAGTGTCTCTGGTTCATAGTTTTTTGTTGATTTTGATTTTCACTTTCTTATAGTTATTCATTTTCCTGGTCCCTTATTTAAGTTTTCTAGATTCCTGCTGTGAGTGAGACCATCCAGTATTTTTCTTTTTCTTTCTGGCTTATTTCGCTGAGCATGATCCCTTCCAGCTCCATCCATGTTGCTGCAAACTGCATGTGTTTATCTTTTTTGAATGCTGAGTAATATTCCATGGTATATATGGACCACATCTTCTTGATCCAGTCATCTATTTTTGGGCATTTGGGCATATATGAAAAATGGCCAACTGGCATATGAAAAAATGTTCAACATCACTTGTAATCAGGGAAATGCAAATCAAAACTACCATGAGATACCATCTTACACCAGTGAGAATGGCACATATTAAAAAAACTAGCAACAACAAATGTTGGCGAGGGTGTGGAGAAAAAGGAACTCTTCTGCACTGTTGGTGGGAGTGCAAACTGGTCCAACCACTATGGAGAGCTGTGTGGAGATTTCTGGACCTACTAAACATAGAGCTTCCATATGATCCAGCAATTCCACTCCTAGGTATTTACCCAAAGGACACAGAAACATCAATTCCAAAGAGCACCTGCACCCCTATGTTTATAGCAGCACTATTTACAATAGCTAAGCTTTGGAAACAGCCCAAATGCAGTTTAAATTCTTGATCAGCTTCTTCCATGCTTGGATTGATTACATAAGTGTCTCTCTGGTCAGGTTCTTTTCTGTTTAAAGATCAAAAGTCTTCCTTGTTTTCCCTTTTTAGGCTCATGTGTGAAAGGTTTCATAATCATTTCCAGTACTGTATCCCCTTCAGTCTCCTAGCTGGCTGATTCCTATTCTGTGTAACTGAAGCATAAAAGTTCAGGGAGCTGGAACTGAGAGCTGAAAATCCAGTTGTCAGCACTGAGAGTCTTCCTGTAGTTGTGTGCATCAAGCTCAGATCTTCAGTACCTGTGAGGGTGTCCACTTATCTCGGGTTACTCAGGGCCGATGCTTGACCTCCAACCAACTTCCCCTTGTAAGACTCTGAGGGTTTCATCCCCATCTCTAGTGGCCTGTGCAGTATAAGAAATATAGAATCAGTTGAACACCATCTTCCATCAGATACATAGATCTTTCTACAGAAAGATCTAGAATGCGCTGCATCCAAGTAGATGTGAATTATCTGATTCCTTTCTTCTGGTACAGATATTCCAAGTATTCCAAGTTCTCCATTTTTCATTAAGGGACAGTTGGGCTTATGGGCACTGGCCTTACCAGGCTAACCTTCTCCCATCATAATCAACAAGAGGATGAAGCGTCCTCCCACTGCTCACTCTCCAAAGGAGTCAGCTGAAACCCACATGGGCAGCAAAGAGGCGCCATCTGCCAAAGGGAACCCTACACCACATTATGTAGAAGTCATGAGGTTCTGGGCCAGCAGGCCACCACTTGCCTCCTGGCTCCATTTCAGTGAAGACATACATTTCCTGACTAGCATGTGGAGTCTTCTATTTTCTGCCTCTTCCAACCTCTGACTGTGTCCTGCTCCACTCTTATTTGCTGTTTCCATTTGGTTCTACTACTCTATACTTAGAAGTTCCACTTCTTCCCCTAATGCTACAAATTCTTGGCTCCCGAACTCTGAGTATAGAAGGAAGAGGGCCAAGACTACAATAACTCAAGGTGTTTTCCAGGTTGCTTATAATATGTCTGAAGATGTTGCCCTTTCTTCAGACAACCGTTCAGCAAAAGGGCTTCGGGAAGTTTGCTTCTTTTGGGCCTGGCAAGTGAAGGGCAGACTGCTAGCAAATATAGTGGGTTTAAACTTCATTTTACTGACACCCTCCTCCACCTGTATAGTTCAGACAACTAGAGATTATGATGGTAGGCGTGACCAGAAAGA